ATATATATATATATATATATATATATATATCGAGAGAGAGAAACTGTATTAACGAAATGTTTGTACTTGTTTCTCTCTGTGTGTATGGTGAATAGATCATAAGCAGAAAAACAGCGATGACTGGCGCATCCAAATAGATACGCAGACGTAATAAATGTTGAAATAAAGAGAGAGAAATATAAAGAAAAGAAAGAAAAAAAAAATGATCTGTGAAAGGGTCTATGCGAAAAGGATTATAAGGTACTATCATCATTATTTTTCTTTTTTTTTTCTTTTTCTTTCTTTCTTTGTTTATTTTTTTTTTTTCTCCATTTGAATGGTAAGAATGAATGCGTCTTTGCAAAAGAAAAAAGAAAAAAAGAAAAGGAAGTCTCTCTGTTTATCTCTCTGTGTGTGTGTGTGTGTGTGTAGTTGCTGATTTCTTTGTTTTCCCTTTTGTTGTTGTAGAGCGGATTTATCTTTTTTTCTTTTTTATCATTTTTATTATTTCTGCTGTTTATTTTTCTCCTCATACTATTATGGATTGTTTCTTTTTTCTTTTCTTTGGTTGACTGTATTCCTTATTCCCTAGCTGGTTTATTATTATTATTATTGTTGTTGTTGGTATCATTGTGAGCGTGTGTGTATATATATATGCGTGACTGAATTGAATGAATGAAAGGGAATCTTCTATTGGGCTGGGGGACTATATGCTTGTTTCTTTTTTGCTTACGCTCCGAAAAAATATTATTATTATTATTATTATTATTATTATTATTATTATTTACAAGTGAGGGGTTTTTTCTCTCTTTTCTCTCTTCCTTTTTTTTTTTTTTTTTTTTTCTAATACACCGTATGGGTCTTTATAGAGGAAAGAGGAAAAGCAGCAATAGCAGCTGATATATATATATATATATTTGAAATCGCTACTTGTATGTATGTGTATATGTGTATATTATTTATATGCGTACTGGGCGTACATTCAACCATTTTATGATTGACAAATGAAAATCAAAAACAAAAAAAAAAAAAAACGCTG